GCGATTCGAGTTTGCTTCCTTTGCTGCAGCATTTCAGGATTGAGGGTTTCGAAAAGAGGTTTAGGGTTTAGGGTTTAGGGTTTAGGGTTTAGGGTTTAGGGTTTTACCTGTCTGCATATTCTTCGAGCTTTCTTTCGAGCTCTTTCTCGCGGCGTCTGGCGACGCTGTTGGCTTCCTGCAGCAGCTCTTCTTTCTGCAGCAGCAGCTGCTGCTGCTGCTGCAGCTGCTCCTCCTGCTGCTGCAGCACGCGCGCATGCACTGCTGCTGTTTGCTTCGTCTCTCTTGCATGCGCTTCTGCTGCTTGCTGCGCTGCTGCTGCTGCTGCGACGGCGGCCTTGAGGGACTGCAGCTCGGCGGTGGAGGGTTGCTGTTGCAGCTGCTGCTGCAGCTGCTGCTGGCTTTGCTGCTGCTGCAGCCGCTGCTGCAGCTGCTGGACCTGCTGCTGCTGCTGCTGCAGCTGCTGCTGCAGCAAGTCCCGCTCGCAGCGCAGCTCCCGCAGCTTCTCCCGAGGGGTGCAAGCTGCCTGTGTGTCTGCGAGTTCCTGCTGCAGCCTGGCTGCCCGCTGCAGCAGCAGCAGCTGCTGCTGCTGCTGCTGCTGCTGCGCTGCTTCCGCTGCAGCAACTGCTTCCTGCAGCTGCTGCTTGTCCCGCTGCAGCAGCCGCAGCTCCTCCACTGCCCGCTGCAGCTTGCTGCTCAGCCGCTGTACAGACACCTCAAATTGCTGCTCCTGTGCTGCTGCTTTATAAACAACTTTATTTAATTCTGCATTTTTTTTTGTGGCAGCTCGCAGTGCCTGCTGCAGACGCAGCAGCAGCTGCTGCTGCTGCTGCTGCTGCTGCTGCTGCTGCTCGCGCTGCTCCTGCGCCTCCTCCAGCTTCTGCGCCGCCTGCTGCAGCTGCTGCTGCAGCAGCTGCTGCTGCCGCTTTGCTGCTTCCTTCAGCTCCGTCAGAGACGCGCTGAACGCGCTCTCCAGCTGCTGCTGCTGCTGCTGGTGCCGACGCCGCTGCTGCTGCAGGTCCTGCTGCTGCTGCTGCTGCTGCTCCTTTGCGCTGCGGTCGTACTGCTCCCGCAGCAGCAGTTGCTGCTGGTTTGCTGCAGCAAGTTCGTCTTGCTGCAGCGCTGCTTCTTCTTGCAGCTGCTGCACGCGGGCCCACGCCTCATCTTTCTCCTGCTGCAGCTGCTGCAGCTGCTGCAGCAGCTGCTGCTGCCGCTCTTCCAGCGCTGCAGCCGCTGCTTGCTGCTGATGCTGCTGCTGCCGCTGCTGCTGGTGCTGCTGCTGCTGCTGCTGAAGCAACTGCCGCAGCTCTTCGACTTCTTCTGAGTAAGATGAGAGCTGGCGCCGTAAGTGCTCCAGTGCTTCCTGCTGCTGCTGCTGCTGCTGCTGCAGCTGCTCTTCCTGCTGCTCGGGTCTACGCTCCTGCAGCTGCTGCTGCAGCAGCTGCTGCTGCTGGTTTGGCTGCTGCGCTAGCGCCATGATATCTACCTGAAGATCTGCTTCTGCTGCTGCTGCTGCTGCTTGTCCTGCTTCTGGCGCAGCTGCTGCCGCTGCTCGTGCTGCAGCAGCAGCTGCTGCTGCTGTGGGCAGCAGAATACTGGGCCGTGGGCTACTGGAGCCGCCGTCGGGAGCAGCAGCAGCAGCAGCAGCAGCAGCAACGTGCTGCTGCTGACACATCTGCAATTGACGTGCGTCCCTCAGCAGCAGCAGCTGCTGCTGTGGCAGCTGCTGCTGCGGCATCTGCTGCTGCTGCTGCTGCTGCTGCGGACTGTGCTGCTGCAGTAGCTGCAGCGCGAGGCGCGCTACCTGCAAAGCATCGCCTGCTGCATCTCTTGAGCACAAGCAGCTGCTGCTGCAGCTGCTGCTGCAGCTGCTGCTGCCACTGCCGCTGCTGTCATTGTTGCTGTTATTGTTGCTGCTGCTGTTCCCGCTGAAGGTATTGAGGCTGCTGCTGCTGCTGCTGCTGCAGCTGCTGCCAGCGACAAGCGCCTGCGGCTTCGAGGCGCGCAGCATTGCCTTGGGGCTGCAGCACTCCTCAGTACTAACTTGTGTTGCTGCTGCTGCTGCTGCTGCTGCTGCTATTGCTGCTGCTGCTGCTGCTGCGGCTGCTTGCGGAGGTGCCTGCGTGTCGCTTGCATTCGGGACATCAAGCGAAGCCGCAGGTGCAGCAGCAGCAGCTGCCGGACTAGCTGCTGCTGCAGGTGCTGCTGCAGGTGCTGCTGCTGCTGCTGCTGCTGCTGCTGCTGGCGGGTCAGGGATAGCAGCAAGACACTGCAGCAGCTCCATTGCCGTCACTGCATGCAGCGCAGCCCGCGAAGCTTCGGGGAGCCGCTGAAGTGCAGAAAGCAGCAAAGAGGAACATCCTTCTGCTGCTGCTGCTGCTGCTGCTGCTGGAGCTGCTGCTGCTGCTGCTGGAGCTGCTGTTGGTGCTGCTGCTGCTGCTGGAGCTGCTGCTGCTGCTGCTGGAGCTGCTGTTGGTGCTGCTCCTGCGGTTGCTTCTGCCGCTGCTGCTGGAGCTGCTGCTGCTGGAGCTGCTTCTGCTGGAGCTGCTTCTGCTGGAGCTGCTGCTGCTGCTGGAGCTGCTGCTGCTGCTGGAGCTGCTGCTGCTGCTGCTGCCGCTGTCGCTGCAGGCGCAGCTTCTGTTGTTGTTGCCACTGCTGTTTGTGTTGCTGCTGGGGCGCCGTCTGTAGACTCTGCTGCTGCTGCTGCTGCTGCTGCTGCTGCAGTATCTGCAGCTGCGTCTTCTGCTGCTGTTGCGTCTACTGCTTCTGCTGCTGCTGCAGTTTCATCTGCTGCTGGCGCGCGGCGCCCTGTCACTTCAAGAGAGATATTTCTGCTGCTGCTGCGCGCTGCTGCATCCTCATGTGCTGCTGCTGCTGCTGCTGCTGCTGTCTTTGCTGCTGCTGCTGCTGCTGCTGTTCTCGGTGCTGCTGGCCTTTGGGGGGTTCGGCGGGCCTCCAACACTACTGAGACTTCGCGAGACTCCTGCAGCCTTTTGCCCGAAGGAGCTGCTGCTGCTGTTGCTGCTGCTGCTGCTGCTGCTGCTGCTGCTCTTGCTCGCCGTGCTGCAGCGCGGATCTCGCAGGAACCGCCGTAGGGAATGCACTGCAGCAGCGCCAACAGCAGCAGCGCAGCAGCAGCAGCAGCAGAGCAGCAGCAGCACAGCAGCAGCCACAGCAGCGTAGAATAAGTGGCGAGGCGCAGCAGCAGCAGTTACGCAAACTGCTCCCAGCAGCAGCAGCAGCAGCAGCAGCAGCAGCAGGTGGCAAGGGGCGCCTTCATGCCTTTGCTTCGACGGCGCCACTAACGAGGGTTTAGGGTTTAGGGTTTAGGGTTTAGGGTTTGTGCTGCTCCTACGAAGGGCTGGGTTTTAGTGCGCAGCCAAAGGCGGTCGAGCTCCTGCTGCTGAGTTTCGAATTCGCTGCTGCTGCTGCTGCCAGCAGCAGCAGCAGCAGCTGCTGCTGCTGCTGCTGCTGCCCGCTCTTCGGCAGCAACGGGAAGGCCGTCCAGCTGCTGCAGCAGCGGAGCGCACAGCAGCACGAAGCGGCGGTAGGCCGGGCTGCAGCAGATAATGTTGCTGTTGCTGCTGCTGCTGCTGCTGCTGCTGCTGCTGCTGCTGAGTCGCGGCGACAGAGGCGTTACAAGGAGCGGGTTGTCGCCATCAAGCTGCTGCTGCTGCTGCTGCTGCTGCTGCAGCTGCTGCAGTGCCGCTGAAGCAGCAGCAACGCAAACACCCGCAGAGCGAAGCGCTAAGGCGAGGCTACAGGGTTTAGGGTTTAGGGTTTAGGGTTTAGGGTTTATGTCTAAGCATTCAAGCCTAGGGTTTAGGCGCCCCCATGCATTCACTCCCCAGCGCCTTCTGAGGCCAACACCTGCAGCACAGGGTTTAGGGTTTAGGGTTTAGGGTTTAGGGTTTAGGGTTTAGGGTTTGGGACCTTCTTTGGACTGCAGCGAGAGCCGCACCAAACGGGGAAGGCCTCCTAAGAACAGCAGCTGCTGCAGCTGCTGCAGCCGGTTGCAGCGGAGGTCGAGGGTTTCTAGCTGGCTGTCGGGGCCCCACAGCTGCGCAAACCCTAAACCCTAAACCCTAAACCCTAAACCCTAAACCCTAAACCCTAAACCCTAAACGCTGAGTGCGTGGGCGCAGCGCGCAGCAGGCTGCACGCCGAGAGCAGCTACAAACCCGCGAGGGTTTCCCCAGGGCTTCGGCCAGGCGCTCAAAGAGGCTTAGGGTTTAGGGTTTAGGGTTTGGGGTTTAGGGTTTAGGGTTTAGGGTTTACTTGCTGCAGGCCTGCGAGGCAGCTAATTTGGTTCAACTCCGCGCGGAGGCAGCGGAGACTTGTCAAGCCAGAAATGCCGTCCAGCGAACGCAGCTGGAGAACGCACACAAATAGCTGCTGCTGCTGCTGCTGCTGCTGCTGCTGCTGCTGCTGCTGCTGCGGTTTCAGTCGCTGCGTCTGCTGCTGCAGCTGCTGCTGCTGCCCTGTTTGCAGGAGCTGCTCGTGGACGCAGCCTGCGGCTAAGCCCGAGGCTCAGCTGCCTCACGCCTACACTCTAGGGCCTAGGGTTTAGGGTTTAGGGTTTAGGGTTTAGGGTTTAGGGTTTAGGGTTTACCCTGTTGGAGGCCACGTCCAGCAGCCGCAGCCTCCGCAGCTGCTGCAGGCTGCCGAGGCGACTCAAAAGATTCGAAGAGACCCGCAGCTCCTCGAGGCCTGCCAGCGTCTCCACTCCCTGCAGCAGCAGCAGCAGCAGCAGCAGCAGCAGCAGCAGCAGCAGCAGCAGCAGCAAGGGGGAGAGTGGGGCCCGCGGAGGCAGCACTGGGAGCGGCTGGCTGCTGCAGCTGCAGCGGCTGCTTGGGCGCAAACAAGAGCCCTGTGAAGCAGCAGCAGCCCCAGCAGCAGCAGCAGCACCTGCTGCTGCTGCTGCTGCTGCTGCTGCTGCTGCTGCTGCTGCTGCTGCTGCTGCTCACCTCGAGAGAGACTAAGGAGTTTGCGTGGAGACTCAGCACTCGCAGCTGCTGCAGCGAAGCCCCAGTGGGAAGCCGCAGCAGAGCAGCAGACACAGAAGTGAGGCCTTGGCCAATCAGCCGCAGCTGCTGCTGCTGCAGCAAGTGCTGCTGCTGCTGCAGCAAGTGCTGCTGCTGCTGCTGCTGCTGAGGGGCGTCCAAAGGGGCTGCGGCGTCGTGGTGATACGGCGCAGCCGCTTCTGCTGCAGCTTGCGCAGCAGCAGCAGCAGCTGCTGCTGCTGCTGCTGCAGCATCCGTGCTGCTGCTGCTGCTGTCAAGATCGTCATCTTCGTGCTGCAGCAGCTCCTGGGGCTGTACAGGGAGCAGCAGCATCTGCAGCAGCGCCAGGGAGCCGTTCTCCCTGCAGCAGCAGCAGCAGCAGCAACAGCAGCAGCAACAGCAGCAGCAACAGCAGCCAGCCTACCCGGCAGCAGCGTTGCGGTCAGCACTCATCCCATCAGCCGGAGTGCTGCGTCCGCCTCTGTTGCTGCTGCTGCTGCTGCTGCTGCCCCAGCTTCTGCTGCTGCTGCTGCTGCTGCTGCTGCTGCTGAAAAGCAGCGCCGGGCAGCCGAAGCTCTGGCTGCGGCTGGTCCCGTCTGCGGTCCTGAGGAGAAGCAGCAGCAGCAGCAGCAGCTGCTGCTGCTGTAGCTGCTGCTGGAGCTGTTGCTGCTGCTGCAGCTGCCTGCTGCTGCTCACTCTTGCTGCTGCTAGTTCTTAACTGCAGAGCACATTGCGCTGCTGGCGTCAAGGCCCAGAAGCTAGGCGTGGAAAGGCCCTCTACCCAAACCCTAAACCCTAAACCCTAAACCCTAAACCCTAAACCCTAAACCCTGGGGGGAAGCTGCAAGGGGCCCCCGGGGTCTCGGGGGCCCCCAGGAGCAGCAGCAAATCTAAATGGAGCTTCTGTTGAAGCAAAAAGCCCCTAAAGACACAAAACAAAATTAAAAAGAGAAAAAAGTAAAGTTTAGAGTCCAGGGGGGCCCCCGGGGCCCCCAGCGGTGCCCGCGGGAGGGGGTGGGGTTGGTGTTTGTGGCGAGAAGAGGGTTTGTTTTGGGTTTTTGTTTCTTTTTCTGTTCAAATTAATTAAAATAAATAAAATATTTTTTTTTAAAAGTCTTGGAAATGAAAAAATGATCAAAATGGTGCACAGAGGTGCGCGTACACCCCGTTGGGGTGTACGTACACCGCAGACGCGCCACCCGCAGCAGCGGCAAAGGCGAATTGCAGCAAAAAAAGATCTAATTTCAAACTCTAAACCCTAAACCCTAAACCCTAAACCCTAAACCCTAAACCCTAGCTCCCAGACAAAGATTAAAAGACAGAGAAGGGCGGGCGAAAATGGATACAAAGTGATGAAACAAGACAGCGAGAATTATGCAACTCCTAAACCCTAAACCCTAAACCCCAAACCCTAAACCCTAAACCCTAAACCCTTCTCCCCCTCCTTTCCTCTCCACTGCCTGCTGCAGCTAGCCACGCCGAAAGGGACTACAAGTCAAAAAGCCCAGCTAGCCACAGCTAGCCACAAGCTGCCCCAAACAGCCCACAGCTAGCCAGAGTCGCCTTAGCTAGCTGGCCCTAACACTGGCTAGCTGGGCCTCACTGTGGCTAGCTGGGCCCCACTGTAGCTAGCTGGCCCTCACACTGGCTAGCTGGGCCTCACTGTGGCTAGCTGGCCCTCACACTGGCTAGCTGGGCCTCACGCTGGCTAGCTGGCCTTCACACTGGCTAGCTAGGCCGCCTTGTGGCTAGCTGGGCCACCTTGTGGCTAGCTGGGCGTTCCTATGGCTAGCTGGGCGTTCCCATGGCTAGCTGGGCCTTCTCGTGGCTAGCTCCCCCTCCTTATGGCTAGCTGGAACTTCCTATGGCTAGCTGAGCCTCATTGTGGCTAGCTTGGCGTATATATAAACATATATATATATTATATATATACTTATATATGGCCCAGCTAGCCATAAGAAGGCCCTTATTCTGGCTAGCTGGGCCTCACCATAGCTAGCTGGTCCTCATTTGGCCTAGCCGCGCCCTCTTGTGGCTAGCTGGGCCTCACTATGGCTAGCTGGGCCTCCCTATGGCTAGCTGGGTCTGATTATCGCCAGCTGGGCCTTTTTATGGCTAGCTGGGGTTTATTATGGCTAGCTGGGGCTCACAATAGCTAGCTGGGTCTTCCTATGGCTAGCTGGGTTTTCTCATGGCTAGCTGGGCCTTCGTATAGCTAGCTGGGCTTTCTTAAATAGCTAGCTGGGCTACCCTATAGCTAGCTGGCCTTTCTTATGGCTAGCTGGGTCTTCCTATGGCTAGCTGGCCTTTCTTATGGCTAGCTGGGTCTTCCTATGGCTAGCTGGACCTTCTTATGGCTAGCTGGGCTATCTTATAGCTAACTGGGCTTTCTTATGGCTAGCTGGGCCTTCTTATGGCTAGCTGGGTCTTCTTATGGCTAGCTGGGCTTTCTTATGGCTAGCTGGGCTTTCTTATGGCTAGCTGGGCTTTCTTATGGCTAGCTGGGCCATAGGCAGAAGAAGCAGCCAGAAGCACTCTTTTGATTTATTTTATTTTCTTTTTTCTTTTTTGTTTTTTGTTTTCTTTTTAATTCTTTTTTCTTTTAAATTCTTTTTCTTCTTTTTTTCTTTTCAAATTTCTTTTGGCTTTTCTTTTTTGCTGCGTTAGCTGCTGCAGCAGCGCAGCAAATTGTTTCCTGGTGCCTCAAGGGTTTAGGGTTTGTGGCTAGGGTTTAGGGTTTGCGGCTAGGGTTTAGGGTTTGCGGCTAGGGTTTAGCGTTTGTAGCTAGGGTTTAGGGTTTATGGCTAGGGTTTAGGGTTTGTGGCTAGGGTCTGGGGTTTGTGGCTAGGGTTTAGGCCTGTGGTTAGGGTTTAGGGTTTGAGGCTACGAATTAGGGTTTGTGGCTAGGGTTTAGGGTTTTAGGATAGGGTTTAGGGTTTGTGGCTAGGGTTTACGGCCTGGGGCTATGGATTACAGCTTGTGGCCAGGGGTTAGCGTTTATGGCTAGGGTTTAGGGTTTGCGGCTAGGGTTTGCAGCAGCAGCTGCCGCCAAACCCTAAACCCTAAACCCTAAACCCTAAACCCTAGGCACAAATGACAAAACCCCCATCACTGCGGGGCTCGCTCCAAACAAAGCCTCGACACCCAAACCCTAAAACAGGGTTTCGGGCCGAGAGGCTAAACTGCTGCTGCGCTGTGCAAACCCTAAACCCTAAACCCTAAACCCTAAACCCTAAACCCTAAATCCTGAACGCTAAACCGTAAACCCTAAACCCTAAGCTTCTTGACTGAAATGTTGTTCTCTAAACCCTCAACTCTAAACCCTAAACCCTCAACGCTAAACCCTAAACCCTAAACCCTAAACCCCAACCCAAGGCGCGGGCCGGAGAACGCGCTGCAGCAGCAGCAAAGGAGGCGCTGCAGCAGCTAGCAGCAGCAGCAGCAGCTGCTGCAGCAGCTAGCAGCAGCAGCAGCTGCTGCTGCTGCTGCAGTGTCTTTTTTTGCATGCATTTGTTTAAATGGATTAAATGGATAAAACTGAGAAGAGATTTTTAGACAAATGCATGCAAAGACTTTTAATGATTTAAATATTTAAAACAACTTTTAAATAAACAATTAAAATAACTAATTTCCTTTTTATTAATTTCTTTGCTGCATTTCAATCGGCCTTTGCTGCTGCTGGGATCGATCCCGGGATCGATCCCGGGATCGATCCCGGGATCGCCGCCCCACAACCGATCCCGGGATCGCCTCCCTGGGATCGGCAGCTCCCAGGCCCTGGGGCCCCACTGTGGGGTCTCAGGGCCAAACACCCCACAAAGGTTCTGGGGGCCCCCGGGGGCCCCCCACGTGTGGGGCCCCCGGGGGGGCCCCCGGGGGCCCCCGGGGGCCCCCCGGGGCCCCCAATCCGACCCAGGGTTTGGGAATAAACTGCAGCAAAGGCGGAGACACGATTGTGTAGGGTTTAGGGTTTAGGGTTTAGGGTTTAGAGCCCAGGGTAGGCAGCGGGGGGTGAGCTTCGCTGCCCCGGAATGAAGGGGAGGAATAGATGTTTTCTAGGGTTTAGGGTTTAGGGTTTAGGGTTTAGAGATGAAGCTAGCTGAATTGCTTCGATGTAGGGGCTGCTGCCGATCTGCTGCTCGTTGTGGGGCTGCTGCTGCTGCTGCTGCTGCTGCTGCTGCTGCTGCTGCTGCTGCTGCTGCTGCTGCTGCTGCTGCTGCTGCTTCTATTAAAGTGGCTGGTCTCCACTCCTCTAGAATGCAATTCAGAAGCTGAAAATAAATATTTAAAAGGCCCAAGTCCGCAGCAGCTGGGGGGCCCCCCGGGCTCAGCTGCAGCAGCAGCAGCAGCAGCAGCAGCAGCAAACTCGGGGTCCCCCCGCCCAGCCCTTTCCTCCCAGGGCCCGGGGGGCCCCCCGAGGGCCCCTGTACCCTTTTAGGGGCCCCCCGGGCTTTGTGGGGCCCGGGGGCCCCCGCAGCACTTGCGGGGTGGGGGGCCCCGCCGGCCCTGGGGCGCTGCTGCAGCAGCAGCAGCAGCGCGGCTGCTGCTGCAGCACCTGCTGCAGCAGCAGCAGCAGCAGCAGCTAGGGTTCCGTGTGGGGCCCCGGGTCAGGTGTACAGACACTGTGTGGGGCCAATGGGGGCCCCCCGCAGCTGCCGCCTCTAGGGTGTATAGGCAGCTCAGGTGTACGTACACCCCGTGGCCAGAAGTCCCCCCGCAAGTCCATTTGAGCAAATCCGGCGATGGGGCCGCTGCTGCTGCTGCTGCTGCTGCTGCTGTCGCTGCTGGCAGCAGCAGCAGCCTCGGGGGGGCCCCCCGGGGGCAGGGGGGCCCCCAGGGGGGGCCCCCAAAAGGGTACTGCCCCCAGGTGTGGGGCCCCCAGCAGCAAAAGGCTGAAAGTGCTGCTGTGCTGCTGCTGTGGGGCCCTGCTGGGTCTGTACACTGCAGGCGCTGCAGCAAAGCTGGCGGTCGCAGCAGCAGCAGCAGCAGCAGCAGCAGCA